CGCACGCACACACACACACACACACACACACACACAAACACGACGCTAAGAGCTACTCAATAGCTCAATATACTTTTTAAACCATTGATACTTAAAACAAACTCGAACCTGTGTCTATGGTACAGTAATGGTTAGGCGCTTCGTTGTCACATGCAGGAAACCAGAGTTTGACTCCAGAGTGGGGAGAATTTTCGAGTATCTCAGATGCTAGAATTTATGAAATGAGTAACACCACAAGTATAAAAAAGATAACAGCATTATAAACGACCCATCAAACCCCCTTTCAACGCAAATTGTCGGATCATGCAGTGGCAGATATGTACCTCCAAAAACAAAGAAAGAAAGATATAAAAGAATTTTTTGTTATCATCTTGCATAATGCTATTTTCAGATTAAGCATAAATGTGTATTGCTCTTTAGAGTATGTAACTATAAAAAATATAACTCCAAAGGTCTTGTAATTCAATTCCCGCATGTGGTTGAAGGGTGCATCTGACGTGATAAGTACATTTAATCAGCTTTACTTCTCTTTTCATATTAAATTTTAATGGGAGTATTATATAATTAAATGTTTTATGTATACCTGCATGAGTGTTTACGGTCCTGTACAGCCTAGAAAAATCTCCCTCTGGGATAATAAAGTATTAGATTTATCTTATCTTATCGTATCTTTTTCTGCTGGGATGTTGCGTCCATCTCAGCCGGGTTTACCCCGACAGGCAAGGTCGAAGGCTTTCTGCTAAATGACCTAAATTGTGTCAACGGCGGCGTAAAAATATACCAGAAACAACTTTCAAGTATCTGTCCACTATAATAACGTCTAACAATCTTTATCTTGAATACGAAGCTAAAATCTGGAACCCATAAGAATAAGACGAGGGACCAAAATAAAGCATTTACATCAGTTGCTATTAATAGAAACTGACCTGCGCACCCAGCAAAGATTCTTTTCTGTACACCAACAAACTTTGTCTTAACCTGAAGTAAGTGGCCAAGATAATACATGTAAGGTTATTTCCCAATCCAATTCTTCAAGTTTCTGGAAGATAATGTCCACAGTATATAAGCTTCCTTACATTTCGTGTTGGGTACATTAGCAAGGAACTTCTCTACCGTATGTGACAAGTCGTCTCTGCAAAGCCCAGTTGGTGAACTGAAAGATTCCTCGATCATTTATTGATTATTGGTGCGTATTTGAACGTATCGAGCTTTGATCGATTTACCTATTGTCGGTCAGCTGTTGAAATGTGCTAAGTTCCGAAAACAATAAATGTTAGCTGATGAGAAAGACAAACTGTCAATTTTACGGACATTAGGGGTTTTACCCCTCTCTTTTAATCATTGTACTAACAGTATGTATGTATGCTTTTCTGTTCCTGCTTTTGACAACATTCAGATTTTGAATTTCGACCAAATATTTCTATAGAACATGTACCCGATACCAAAGATTTAGAAATTGGCTAAATGAATGAATAAATGAATTTTTAAAAACATGAATAAATGAATAAACAAATAAAATAAATAAATATTGAGAAGTGCATTTGAATAGCTGCCTGACGATGTGTTTCTCTTTTTCACCTTAGTTTTCTTTCTCTTTCTACATTCGCAGTCCCTCCGTCTGCTCTTTCGCAGCCGTCTTCCTCAGCCCTTTTTCTTCCTCTCTTTGTTTTTTACCTCCTCCCACCCCTTTCCTTTCTCTTCTTTATACCCTCTTTTTCTCTTCCTGGGAGATCGCTATTCCATTCTATTTTTATTCTATTCTCTCCCTCTCTCTCTCTCTCTCTCTCTCTCTCTCTCTCTC